GTGGCCCTTGATGTTGTTCGCATCATCGAGCAAATTTTGCCCTTCCTTGATCGCTCAAAAGTTCTTTTATATGTCCTTGGTGAAGCATGTTCACGACCTCTTGCCTTAGAGCGATGCAGTCCTCGGTTTTGTGGCCCTATTCCTGATAGAATCCGCAGAGGGCATTTGACTTTCTGGTGTTTGGGTCAGACCTCATCTTCTGCGGCTACTTCACTTTTGGACCGAGCTTCTCCAGGGCGTAGACTACTTTTGAGGGAGAAACACAAAATTTGTGAGCAAATAGTAGTGGAGGTATACCTTTTTCGCTTCGGCGAGTCCTTGTTGGCTGCCTGGATGGACCGTCGCCATGACGGGGAGGCTGTATGATGGCGGCTCTAACATATGGTTGGTGCCTCACGGTTGGGTCGCGGGCGCCTACAAGGTCCCTTCTGTTGCCATTTATTCGGTCTTTCCTGGATTCCATTTTGACCGAGATTACCGGTTGAGCTGGCCCAATGAGGTCATCCTTGTCAGATCGCACTTCGACGCAGTAGGCATTGTGTATCTCGTCCCAAGTGGTTGGGGGATATTTCATGAGTCGGCTTAGCAACTTTCTGGTCGCCCTCAAATCGCTCTTGTTTAACCCATTCTGGAAAGCTGCTGCTGCCATTCCCTCCGATACATTTGGTAAGGTCATCCTCACGCGGTGGAATCGGGCAAGGAAATCTCTTAGTCCTTCTTCGGGTGACTGTTTAATGGCAAATATGTCATTCACCCTCGCCTATGCTTTCTTAGCTCCGGCATGGGCCGTTATAAACTTATCGGCCATTTCCTCGAACGTCTCTATGGAATGTGCAGGTAGTTGTGAGTACCAAGTTAATGCTTCCCCGATGAGTGTTTCACCAAACTTCTTCAGTAGTATGGATGATACTTGTTCTTTGGCGAGGTCATCGCCTTTTACTGCAGTGACATAGTGGGTCACATGATCCTCAAGGTCTGTCGTGCTGTCGTATATTTTCAAGTATGGCGGCATTTTGAAGGTTTTAGGTATGGCGTGCGATGCAGCTTCGTCACTGTATAGTTGCTCAACAAACCGGTCGGCGTCCTTTTTTGGTAAAAGTTTTGGGGCACCTGGTATTTTGTCTACCCTTTCTTGATGCTCTTTTATTTGATCAGAGCATTTTGTTCTCATTCTCCATCTCCTCCATCTTCCTCAGAATGGCTGTGAGGGTGTCGTTACCTGCATCACTAACGTTGTGAGTAATACCTGTTACAGGGGGGTGGGGCTTGTTGCTTGTCTGGTACTGGTGCGACGCAAACTCTCGCATTCTCTATTCGTCCTTTGAGAGGGCTTGTCAAGAATGTTGGTCAACGTATTTGTCAACCATGCCTCGAGCAACTTTTTCACTGTCGGTGATGCCTCTTCTGTTGTGGATGTAGAGGCCCCTTTACCATGTGAGGCTGTGATGCTGCCATGGGGGAGGGGTGAACCACTCCGTCTGGGGGAGCCATTTGGCGTCACGTCCTCAACATCTATTCCAGCGACTTCGTTGATAGTGTTTAGGAGGTTGTTAGTAAGACTAGCTACTGCTTTCATTATTTCCTCTCCATTACATGCCATGTTCAACTATGCACGCAAGAAAAGACAAGGTTTTGTGTTGTTTTCTTTTAGATCTGAAAGAAACTAAGATTTTAACTAGAATAACCCCACAAATGGCGTCAAATTGTTTGACCAAAAAATGATAATCTTTGGTTAAATTAATTAATCAGTTATTAAAAAGGGTTAATCCTAGTTAAAGCTAATAACTTCAGATCTCGAGTTATCAGTACAAAAGATATGAGCGGTGAGGAATGGAGTTAATATACTAACAATAAATGTGTCAAATACAATAGTGTGTATGAAGTATCAAGTATTAAACGACAATCAATGACAATAAGGAAGATTCATCCAATATTGAATGAGGTGAATGATTCCTTCTTCTGATAACGATGAATGACAAGAAGATAAGAGAATGTTGAGCACTTTCTCGGATCTGGTGGAAATGACAATAGATAATCCAAAAAGGGAGGAATCTCTCCAGAAAGTTATCCTTTGTATTTATCTTGAGAGCTACCTTTTCAAAAGTGTTTTTATCATATAGAATATTACATGTCTTTTTTCTTATCTCTCATACTATTCATACTAGCCGTTACTTTTATCTATGCAGCTAGACCTCGGCCCTGATGAACCACTCAACGTCTTGTTCTTTTGATCACTGATCAACCTCGGCCAAACTGCCCATATTACTCTGCAGGCCATTCATGATCGTCTCCGTGTGTTGAATTTCTCTAGTTTGATTTTGACCCATACACACAGTACATGCACAATAGTCAAAGTTAGCTAGTACTTACGCCCCGTGCCCCTAGGGCTTTCGCCTCGCCTCTCGCTAATTCCAAATCATTTTCATAATTCTTTGTAGATGTTGAATTAATTGTTCTTTACCTAATCCCACCTGCATTGGGAATAAGTTTGGATTTTGGTTAATGCGACTTATAAGTCGTAATTTTTGCATGAGATTTATAAGTGGCATTTAAGAACTGCAATTTGTAATCGCATTCACCAAATCTATTTCATAAGTCACATTTAGTTTCGGTTTATATTCCACGCCTAAAATGCAATGTATAATAAGTAAATTCTAGTTCCCACTTCCGCAGACTTCCTTTTTTGTACTTATGCAAATTCTAGAAAGTAGATTTAAAGATTTTTTCCTAACATTATTAATCTAGAATCGCTTTAAGTTAATTAGGGAAATGGCCTAAATATATCTGAAATCGCCTATTCGATTACAAATTTATGGTATTATAACCAATAGAGTTCTTTAGTTTTTGAACCTATAAAATTGAATTGCAAAAATTGTCTTTCATAAAATTACTAAAGAATAGATACAATCGCCTATAAAGAGGCGTCAATATGGGCTTGGTCCGTTGGGCCATGTCAGCCCAACCCAATCCGTGATTTACCAGGGTTGAGCTAAAAAATTTAGAGCCCATTTAAAAATGAGGAATTTAAATTCGGCCCGAATAAGCTCGTGGCCCGTGAGGTTTGGTTGAGATTGGGTTGGGCCTAATAAAAATATTTATTGAAAATATATAAAATTATATTGTCTCTAACGATAGAAAGTCAGAATTAGATTTTTACTTAGAAGAACCAAAGTTTGATCTTGAGAAGTTTCAAGAGATGGATATTGTCATGTATTGGAAGGACCATTCTAGAAAATATCTCGATCTTTCAGTGATGGCGCGTGATGTACTTGGTATTCCTATTACCACTGTAGCATCGGAATCAACATTTGGTGGGTGTGTTATGACAAAGTACAGAAATTGCATCCATCATGAAAATGTCCAAACACTTGTTACTACTCGAAATTAGCTGCACGACTTTTCCCAAATTCGAACTAGTAATATTTTCTATGTGAATTTGAATATTATTAATTTCTAAAATTTAATTATTCTTAATATTTAACTAATTAATATTGCATATGAATTGTAGGTGTAAATGAAAGTAAAGATGTTAAGACAACCTTGTCACAAGCGGATTCAAATGTACTTGATGAAGATGACGTGTTGGATATACCATATGCGTCATGGACGTTCTCTTGAATTGTTTATTTTGAGTTTTGACTTTTAGTGACTGAAATATAGTCTTATTTTTTTTACCTTTTTAGTATTTAGTGTAATATATTGGAACAATATAAAAAGTTATTAAGTATTGCAAAAATTTTCCAATAAGATATTTTTTAACTTTTAAATATTTATCTTTTTTTAGGTTAGAACTTAAAGAAAAAATATAAAATTATATTTTAAAAAACGAAAAAGGGTTAAATGCCCGTAAACTATTGGAAGATGTTTAAAAATACCCTTCATCCACCTATAGAACTAAAAATATCCCTCTAACTACCTTTTTGATTCACTTATGCCCTTTGACCGTTAGGTCAATGCTTAATTAAAAATAATTATTATTTAAGTTTCACGTGACAACTTCTTATTGACTAGAATTAAAACATGTAACCCATTAGAAAGACCCACCCATATCTAACAGTTTTTTGTACTAACCCGCTTCAAACACTAATCAGGCTCGAACAAAAAGTTCAACTAAAAAAATGAGTCCCACTTCTTTCAAACTCCACGGAACAAGACGCAAATTTACTACGTGTTTTTTTTCTTATTATGGCATCCAATTCAATTTACATGATAGATACAAATTGCATCATATTCAAGGTGAGTTTAATTTAATCATTTTCACATAACGGAAAGATCTCAAAATGATGAAAAAATCGTTGGACTACCCCTAGTTTTCTGTCCCACATTATTGTCAAGAAAGGCATTGGTTCATTCATGCTAGGCCTTTCTTGCTTGTTTAATCAAGAAAATGAACACATGTAAATCCATATGTTAGATGGAAGTGGGGCGTCTTTTTTTTTTATTGAACTTTTTATTCGGGTCAGGTTAATGTTTGGGACGGGTTAGATCGAAAAATGGGTAGATATAGGTGGGTGTTTCTAATAGGTTAGATGTTTTAATTTCGACAAATAAGAAATTGTCACGTGGAATTTAAATAATTATTTTTTAAATTCAGCATTGACTTAACGGTCAAAGGGTATAAGTGAACAAAAAATACGGATGGAAAGGTATTTTTAGCCCAATAAATGGATGAATGATATTTTAAAACATTTTTCAATAGTTCAGGACTAGGATAAGCTGTCATTATAAGGCCCATCAAAATAGTGGCTAGCCCAGCCCAATTAGTCAATTGCTAAAACACACGTAAGTTGGATTGGGCTAACCCGGCCTGGCCCGTATTGACAGTACGAGACATGATCTTGAACTTGAGAAGCCTTTTTAAAAAATATTTTAGATATTATGAGCTTAACATGCCTAAGTAACCTTTTTTATTTGGAAAAGTTAAGTTTATAAAGGTGGTGACTAGTCAAATTACTTCAAATAAAATAGGATTATAATAAATCAAAATTAAAATAATTTAGCAAGGTTGAAATTTGGGAACAGAAGCGGGTCATTTGCCCAAAACTCTTACAACCCGGTAGATTTTCAGTCCATTGATTCACACACATCCGTCAAGCGGCAGCGTCACTGAACCCAAAACAACCGTTCGCAGCTGATTTTTCTCTTCTCTTCACTCGAAGGCCATGAGCCGTCGATTCTTCGGCTGCAAGTAAAAAATGCCGGCTGCTGATTCGTATCAGCTGTTCATCGTAGACTCATCAGCACCAATTTTCAATGGCCACATCAAGGTCCGTATTTTTACCCAATTAATATTGCTTTCATTTCTCGAGTTTTGTTTTTTCCTGTATTCTTAATTTTAGATCTCTTTATATGCTTAGGATTGTTCATTTGTACAATTCGGTATTACTGGATTAGGCTAGAGTTGGCTCTTACGTAATAGGACCCTGAGCTGCAATGTTTTAACACGAAGGATGGTTATTCTCTTACAATCTTATTTCGTTAAGGTTTAGATTGTGGTTGGCATGGGAAAAATGTTTTTGCCTTGAGAAATGATTTTTGGATCAGTTTTCAGTGTTTGGATAAATTATCTTAACATTTTCAAGCAGAGACAAAAATACTAGGTGAGCTTTTTCATCTGCTTAAGTGTTGATGGACATAGTTATCTAGTACCTGTGTTCAGTGGTGGAGCCAGAAACTTTTTCAAGGGTGTTCAAGAGTTGGAAAAGTAAATAACAAAAAATTTCGATCATTGGTTTAGTGATTGTTCAGCCTAGCGATTCTGGCATGAACAATCTCAACAATATGTTTCCACCAAATACAAACAGTGAAAAGCATTCAGAATTTTTAGTTGTGTTGCTTTAGTAATGAATTTTTTTTTATGAAGTAAGGAGAATTCATTAAAAGCATCCAGCGGATGCAGGCAAAAGATTACAATTAAGAGAGATGGTGTCTGCTCATATACACAAAAAACTATTCTATCACTAAGGAGCAAGACACAATCAAAAAATTGAACAGAACTAGTTACAAGTGCCTGATTTAGCCAACCAAACAAATTCAATAAGCCTTTTGCTTTGACTACATGGGTCGGAGTTGAGATCCCATCAAAACATCTACAGTTCCTTTCCTTCCAGATGCACCAAAAGATAGCAGCAGGTACCATTACCCAAAATATTTTGATGGATTTACCAACTCTCCATGAACACCAACATTCATATGCTTCCTTGATGCTGTTAGGCTTGACCCAGGCTAGTCCAAAAATAGAGAGGAACATGTTCCAAATATCACATGCTAAAGGACAATGCAAAAAGAGATGTCTAACACTTTCAGAATCCAAATTGCACATGTAGCACCTATTCACCATTGGTATACTCCTTCTGCTGAGGTTGTCTTGAGTGAGGCATGCTTCATTTAAGGCAACCCAACTGAAACAAATCACTTTAGGAGGCAGTTAATGAAATTATACGGACTACTTTTTTTTCGATGGGTAAAATTATACAGACTACTATATAAACTGAAATACCAGTGATCATTCTATCGACTTGGCTAAAGAAGAATATCATGTTGACTGTGGATTACTTCCTCAAATAATCCATGGCTGTAAATTTTAAATGTATGTATGCAGCAGTGTTTTGATTGATACTGGGATAATGGGGCTATCTTTATTTAACCGTAATTCGAAAGCGCGTGCAGCTGTGGCGTATGAGTTTCAAACCTGCCACCAAATGAAGCAAAAATTTATGCGGTAGGCTGTAGCGTGTTAGATTCGAACCCTCCACTTTAAAGTTATTACCCTTTACCACCACGCTAGAAGGCTTAGTTGTGTCAAGGGTGTTCAACGACTAGTATATATTGAAATACTACAGAATTTGGCCTATATACATAATACATGGCATAATTCCGGTGAAGGGTGTTTAGTTGAACAATCTCTGTTGACTGTGGCTCCGACCTGCCTGTGCTGGTGGGAGGTAGCAGGTACTTAGGATTTAGATGGTATAAAGGTAGATGAAGTATGGTAATGTTACGAGATAGAGGATAGGGAATAACGACATTGTTTCATGATGTTTTTGAATACTAAATGTTGACAACAGTGTTCAACTGTTTGATGAAGCAAGTCATGTAGAGCAAGAATCCAGTACTTGTAAAGGTAAAATAACTACTGCCCATATGTAACGAAGTTGTTCTCCCTCTTTTGGTAGAAAACATTTTTCCTTGGAGAAACAGTTTCTGCAACTCAAGAACTGAACAGTGAAAAAAGATTTCAACTAGGAACATATTGTAAGCAAAATATTTGTCATTATGTCAAAATTAGTTTCTTTAACCCCTACAATTTGAGCTTTGCTCAGCCAAGTGTGACTGTTAGTGTAAACAATCAAAAAAGTGTGACTGTTATAGTATGTGTTTTGTTTTGTCAGGTGCAGAATTTTGGTGAAGGGCGGCGTTAAAAGGGTTGCTCATTCCTTTCTTGCCAGCCCAAGGGCCAGCTACTCAGAGGTTTGGACGTCTTGCCCTGCCAGACTTTCTTACATCTTTTCCAGATTTCATTCACAATGTAGAGTTTGTCATAGAGGATTTACCTCCAGTATTTTATATGAGGCAAAAGGAACCTTATGGAAGGCATACAATTCTAAATCGAGCTGTTTGTTCCTAACAAGTGAGACAGTGTCACACCATGCTCGAATTGCCTGGAAAAGGCTACTTCAATTTCATTCAAGCAGCGGAGCAATTCTGCCACCGATAAGTAGGGTTACGTGTATGATGAGCCTTGCTTTGACTCGCTCACATCTGGTTTCTCCTGGCATTTTGGCCTTCCTTATCGGAGAGCTAGCATGGAAGCGAAGTGTGTTTGCCGAAGCAGAAGGCTTCACATCCCCGGAATCACTCTACATGCATGCAAAGGATGGACATGTCTACCTGACTTCAGTTGTCTTCTTACTTTTAGAGGGCTTGATTTTGCTCTTCAGAGCTGTATACTTAACACTATTGTTCTTCCCGTGTATACTTATGGCTCCTTTTGCAGACTCCCTTGGTATTGAATTTAGGAAGAAGTGGCTTCGTGTTGTGCGAAAAACTCTAGAGAAGGCGGGTCCAGCGTTCATTAAGTGGGGTCAATGGGCGGCAGCAAGGCCAGATCTATTTCCAGATGAT